ACCTCTGTAACGGCGCCAATGGAACTATTTTTGACTTGTACTGTAGTTAAAAATGGAATAAGAGTGTAGGAGACAAGCGAGTTATCACCACTGACTATAACATCGACTTTGCAGAATATAACTCATATGAGATCATCAAAAATTCATGAAAAACTTGTACTCTACTTTGCTACTATCGAGCGAGTGCATATATTGGCTATAAGACAATGTTTCTGTAATAGTTATCTAACTTTACTACCGCTAGTGAGTGAATCGTAATATTGATGGGAATAGGGAAATGCTAGATTCATAAGGGTAATAGATATTTTTCTGCAACCGACACAATAGTCGTCAATTTAAATACCAAAATTAGCTTTTGAATTGACGTTTCTATTACTGATACAAAAGCATATGTTTCTAGGCAACACTTTTAGTTTATGGGAGCTGAAGTTGAACTTCAAAGGATGTACTAAGAGGTCATCAAGAATAAACAACATTGTTATACGGTTGGATATTTGGGTTGGGACGCATACCAGATTTCCGCAGATTTGACATTTTATAACCATGCTGGGGATATAAATACACCATATTATATTTAAGTATCTTTGTTTTGATCAGGAAAGCCTGCGAGATTCACATACTTGTTTGATCTGTATTTCATTCATTATTCTGGGGATGGATGACTTGTATTTGAATAATCATGGCCAGCAATAGTTTTTTTGTCTTACACAACAATATCGTTCATGTTCATCTGAATACGGAGCCAAACACAGTGGAATATGGAGAGAAATAAATAATCGCTATTATTATTAATCTACTGTAGAGGTCCATGTTATCTCAAAGTGGAGTGAAGTAAGTAGTCCAAATATGATAAAAACTCTCCACAACGTTTAATTCTGAATTCAAGAAGGGGGGGACATGTTTCGGACACAAAAGGTATCCATAATTTCTTTCTGGCTCATGATGGATACCTTTTGGGTCCGAAAACATGTCCCCCCCCCCTTCTTGAATTTAGAATCAAACGTTGTGGAGACGACTTGGGGAGTTTTTATTATATTTCAGCTATTATTATTGTTGATATGCTCACTAACCTAACATTTTCCACGTATTTTTCCTATGCCTGGCACTGGCGCGGTATTTGCTATATTAGGGCTGACATCTGGTTCATACACAAATGGGTCACTCTGAAGTTGTATTCATATTGAAACTACAACATTATATATATAATTATAATATCAATAATATTAATATTTCTTGTATTAATGATTCATTAGAAATATGTAACGAGCGAACGTTGCATGGGTTGGGCGTATACTTGTGATTCTATTGTGCTCCCAGTTGTCACTGATTCTGCAAACTGTCAACTTTGACGCGTTTATTTCAATTTGAGATGATTTATCAACATGAATTTCGATCACAAAGGTGAAGATTCAGATATAGAACTTGCGGCAAAAGAAATAATTCACCTCCAGTACCTATTATATTTATATGAACAATAAAGTATTTCTTATTTCTGTTTTTGGAATAAACAACTGACATTTGAAATTTTTGTTTACATTAGCGCACTAGTGCTGTGAAGTGACAGATTACCGCATTAGTGGTAGTAGGTAAAGAGCTTTATCTAATTTTGACATGTTCCGCTAAATACAAAATACAAAGCGTTTGATAATTGGTTACGTGAATATATTGCTATTCTAGGTGGGACATGCATCATAATCTTCTAACTGTAGGTATTCAGTTGTCATCAAAGATTGTTGCTATGAAGAAAGGAAAAATTTTGAGTGAAATCCACTTCCACTTTCTATGATTTCAATCCTGTTTGATATGAAGAAAATTTCATAGATTCCAATAGATATTTTTCATATCAGGTCAGGTCAGGCCATCGTACTCATAATCCACAGTGTGACCCAAAGTCGGCTAAACGTTTTGAATTGATGTATTATGTAAAAATTAGTTTTTTTCTAAGGGTATAACCCAAAATTGCTCTTGTTTCACTGTGTTCGATACATCAATGAGGTACTCTGTATGTCATCAATTTTATTTCCGTATCTGATGCCACATAATGACTTCATTGTGTTTTTATTTCAAAAAAATCTCATCGCTCATGGAATGTAAAATTTGAAGCAATGACAGCTCTATATAATAGATGAGCATTACTTGAGGGGAAATCAGATGGCTACAGGACGAAGAAATCAAAATTGCCGCTGTTATCTGTTACAGCCGTAAAAAAATTATAGTGTATAATTCGCACGAAATGCTAATTTTTCACTCGAATTACTAAAATAATTCATATGAAGTACTAAATAATCCAAAAGTGCCCCCTTGCGTCCCCAGGAATTGACGAAATTATTTCGAAATGTTATTGACTGGGACAATCCTTTTGAATGAAGGTTTCATAATTTCACAAGCATATTATTTTAGCAGCATCAATAATGAGCAGACGATTTCACAAAGTTTCACACATTATTCGAATAACGTCCATTTTGTTGTTGTCGAAAGTTCTGCTGCTCTTGAAGCCAACTGGATCACTTCCCCAAGAATGAATTCGATCGTTTCACAGTGCAGTATACGGTTTGAATATCGCCTGAACTTTTCAAATCCACAGGAATGCATAAAAATACAGAATATCGAGATATATCGATATTTCACATACTGTATATAATAAAGGTCAAAAATTTCAAAACCAATTCGAGATATTGACTTGATGATTTAAGAAAGTTGATTTGCAGAAGGATAAAAAAAATCCTGGGGAATACGGGGAACTTTTTCGATTATGTAACACTCTTTTTGACCACTTTTTAGGTCATGACTGGAAAACTTCGAGAAGTTTTGAATAATCAATCTCAAACAGACAGAACGCATCTTTTGAACACTGCATTCCAATTGAGAATCGGTTGATTTGCAAAAAATCTATCGCATTTTAAAAATCGACGGAAATTCGAGTGGTCCACTTGATTCTTTGAGCACTCAGAAAGGAGTGAAAAATGAAATCATAACGTTGTGTTGATGAACACATAACATAGAAAAAAGTAGGCTAATAACTCGGCGCTGAATAAATAATTGCTATTAAGTGCAGTTAGTTATATGCGATGATCCTGGCAGCGACTGGCATTTAATAAAGAAAAAAATCATACTTTCACAGAGTAACTGCCAGATTGCGACGACAGTAAATTGGCAGAAAATACGCCCTCAGTTGAGTTTCCTTCAGTAATAGTATATTTCAAATTCGAGCTAAGCCGAACACGGGAAGTCATGCAAGCCCGGAAAAATTTTTCATTTCACTTCGTTGAAAATGAGAATTTCATGATGAAATATTACATCAAAAAGACACAGAAGAAACTTGGAACATTTTATTATTCATTTCCACAGTTGTAGGAATGAACATACTTGAAACTACTATAGAGTAAGAATATTGAAAATCAACCAACTATAACTATACTATCGAAAAAGTTTACGAATACTATTTTTGATACGAATTATTATAAATGGTTATGCGTTCATTGTACAATGCGTATTATTGCACACGTTCAGTCCTTATGGAGTTTCAATTTGTGCAACTGCAGTTACTGAAGCAGGCTCTTCGCAAATGTCTTGATTTTGTCGAAAGAATGATACAGATGCTGTATTGTGCGAGTGAGAAGGGTTAAACAGTTTAGGTGATACTTCCTTCGGCTATATTGGAAGAACGCCACCGTTGATTGATATATATATGGAATCAACGACGCCACTCTCCGTATCTTTTCAGAGTGAGTAAATCAGCGCCGCTCTCCACCAAGATGGTTGTCAAAGAACGCCCGGTATATTTTCTGGGATCTTTTAGTTTTAGGTATTCTGCAACAATTTTCGGAATACCACTGATGGTCCAACGAGCTGAACACCTTCCATTTCGATATGCAACAAATAATCTTTGGCTGTTCATATTTTTAGGTCGTAGAGCTGCATATTTACGATAAATTGTGCAAGGCTCAAATGTACATCCTTCATTCGTGATGGTAAAACTTCTTGATGTATGAGTTTCACCATCTCGTAAAAACACGACAAGCAAGCGCGCATTATCTACCACATCGTCTAAAGTTATATCCCAAACACCAAAATTGCTTTTGGTAGTATAGATATTGTTCATCTGGAGATTCACATACAAATTTTGTTACCTTGTGCTGCTGTAAAAACTCTGGACTTCTTTGGAATATATCCTACAGCTTGATGCTTCAGGAAAGCAATCGTTTTTGGATATTTGTTGATGTCATTATCTTTTATTGCTAAACAACTCTTGAGCATTGAGAATCGACTCCATAACGTGGAAGATTTCATAGATTCAGCTTTTTCGACAAAATAAACTAGGAAAATATCATCACTTACAGTTTTCATTTTGTTCAGATTTCGCCATTTCGTGAAAAGTTGATATTCGTGTTCATATCTCGACCTGGATTTTATTGGTGATAAATTCGCGATCGCTTGTGTTGCTTGGCTCTAGAATATTATCGGGAATTTCGAGATTTTCTTCAGAGTTCATTTTGTCGGCATAAATTTGATTGTCAGAGAATAAACAATATAGTATTTGGCATTCGTTTCCACATGATTATTCTCGAAGTTTTTCCATGCGCTGTTTTCGTGCGATGCCCGAAAAATCCTATCTCACAATATTACTAATATCATAGATTCCAGTCTTTAATCTATGCTAATATCATGGAATGAAGGAGTCTTCAATCTATGCTAATATAGATGGAAACACGTTGATTTCAAAGAAGTGTGATAAAAAATTGTTATCGCTGCCGTAAGGTTTCAATGTGCTGCTTCCTATTCGAAATTGCGTGATAAGATTTCTTATGGTGACATAAAATATCTTAGCAATAACTTCAAGCACAATTTTCCTCAGTGTATATTTCGATAGCAAAGCAATATTATTCAGATATTATCTGTGAGAAAATATCTTGCAACCTTTATAGACTTCTTCCAAAACAACAATTATTGCTTTACATGATCATCAATAATAACAACAACTCAAAATATCTTCTGGGAAAGGTACGCGGAAATTCTAGTCTTCAATCAATATCGAACCATGCAAGTGCTCCTTATCATTTTCCTCGGGTCATCGTTATCACTCGGCACTGACTCAGCCCGTATACTTGGTGTTTTCCAAATACCAGCCGTCAGCCATCAATGCGTATTCCAGCCCATCTGGAAAGAGTTGTCACTGAGAGGACATGAGGTAGTGGTGGTAACACCAAATCCACTGAGGAACGCAAGTTTGGTGAATCTAACCGAGATAGAAGTGAGTGAAACTCGCCAGATTTTCGAAAGACATGGTTTCCAGTTTTTCATGAATAAAGAAAACTACGTGCACACCAAGATTGCCAAGCTGTTCGCACTGAACTACGATCTTGCAGAAGCCATATTCAACAACAGAGACTTCCTGAGAATCTACAATGATACCAACGCAGAATTCGATCTTATCATCACCCAATCTTACATCTCCCCGATATTCTATAGCTTAGCAGCTAGGTTTCAAGCACCATTGATAGGTGTCGCCTCGATGGGAGGATACATAGGCACAGACTTCGCTATGGGCAATCCTCATCCACCCTCTTTATACTCAGAGATGTTTCTACCCTACCACGGTCAAATGAGTATGTACGAAAGAATTAAAAGTACCCTTTTTTACCTGTGGGCTAAGTATTACTTGACATTTCACGCTATGCCAAAGAGCGATGCAATAGCTAGGAAGTATCTAGGGAATGATTTGCCTTACATTGAGGACATCGAAAGGAATATGAGCTTGCTCTTTTTGACCACGAATCCCATTCTGTATTCTCCAAGGCCAACTGTGCCCACTATAATCAGTTTGGAGCAGATGCATATAAAACCTGTTGGAGTATTGCCACAGGTAAGTTGAAAAGATAATTATGTATCTTTGTGAATGAAACCTGGAGATTTTTCTAGGGGACGCTTCGTATTCGAAAAAAACATCAACTTCTTTTCGAATACCGTTCTGATTATATGTTCACAGATACTAAAAGCTTTTCTTCATTCTGAATGAATTCATGTATCAAACGAAGTGGATTGAATTAGTTCGACATGGTTCAAGCCATCATCAAAGTTCTTGTCACTTATTCTGGATGAGGATGAATTAAGTTTCTTCGAAAAAAAAACAAATAAAAATTTTCCTCCATCCTTAACTGGAGTAGGTATAATCACTTTAACACTATAAGTATTCTGCCAAATTCGCATTTTCGTAGTCTAAATAGTGTTTCCAATTATGATAATGAGATAATTCATCTGATCAAATCGATCAATCAAGAATGCGACGATTATATGCTATGTAGATTGTGAAGTAACTGACCTAGGAATACTAAGAAATGTCTTGGAGTAAGAAAAGGATATCTCAATTTGGAAAAAAAAGGTAATCATTTTAAGAAAGAGAGAGAGAGAATATTCTTTGTTGACTAAAGATTTGAAATCCTGATTACAAAGTAAGAGTAAAAAAAATACCTTGAAGTAAAAAACAAAACCTATAACTAGAGCAAATCGCTACTAACAGCACAACATTTCGAAAGTTTAAATACTACTGAATGCTAGTTGCATAAGGGATACATTACAACATATTGAAATATTCCTATTAGAAATGATTTTATGATTGAAATGAATCATTGGGAAACTCTTAAATATATAATGTAATTGAGGTAAGAATTGATTATGAAAATGATTCAGAGAAATATTTTGATTTACTCCTCAGTATTGAATAACAAGTCCATCAAAATTTGACACTGAATGATCAGAAATAAGTAAAACTGATATTTTTCGAAACATTCAAGTTGGCTAATCCTATGTGGAAGCACATTCAAACTACTTTGAATAAGACATGGTTGTTTTCAGAATAAAGTAGCTTCCACGATCTGTGAACGCATTATCAGGACCTTTTAATAAAAATAAGTTGACGATTGTTCTACGAATATATGAAACGTCGCATAGAAAATAAAATATTATCACGTAAAATTTTAAGTTGGAAAAGTATTTTCAGTTTCTTTATATATCCAATGATAATGTTGAGAAAACAAGATTTTCAAAAATAGTTATCCATGTACCAAGGACGAAAAAATTTCTATTATAGTCGAGTCTGCAGATTGGAGAGACAATAGACTGTTTTTCACCGAGGTGCATATTACATTTTTTCGTCGACCTCAAACATTTATATCCACGTCACGGTCCTATTCACACGTGAAACCTATCGATTTCCGTTAATGATCAATTTGACAACAGCACTTTACAGTTGTTGTCAACTCACTCTCCGCGCGGACCATGGTTGCCAGTTCGATTTCAATTTCATCAGTAAATACCTTGTCCAGAATGCAGGTCCAATTAAAGCTATACGAATTCTAAAACAGAATAATTAAATAAACCTATGACATCAAAACATCATGTACTCTGCGTTAATAGAAAAGTAACCTATTTTCAACAAAGTAATAGGAACAAACAAAGCAAACATTTTCATGAAAAAATAATCATATTCATAATTCTCAATTCAAAAATACTCACAAATATCACAAAATACAGTTACAGTCGTATTCAATAAAAAAGCGTAGAAGTACTAAAAAGAGAGGATTTCGGGATCCTAGTTCTAATCGTGTAAAACTGGCTTAGCCAATGCTTTGTGTTTTCGAGAACCTATGATAACTTTACTGTCAACATTTGGTGAACAATCATTCCCCTTAGCCCGTTTTATGCAGAATAGGATGACGTTAATTTCTCTCTGTATTATACTTGTACGCTTTTTTTAATTACGACTGAACATTGGTAATCATTCAAGATTTGAGTATATGAAGAAACAGGAACGAATAGTAAAAATAAACAACAACAACAAAACAAATGAAAGAATTTGAACGTGAGAAACATACTGTTATAACAGAGGTATATAAAAAATTGAATTTGATCAGAATCTGATAAAGTATTGTCCTTTTTTGATCTATACATTTTATTAGTTATTTTGTGAAATTATTTCAAACAGAGTGTGCCGAAATATCAAGTAATTTGAAAGTGTATATGAATAACTGAAGATTGATTATTTCATAGGTAATTATAATGATAAATGAATGTCAAAATATTGTCCATCAGTAGGTAATGAAATGTTCCAGTAGATCAGCAGATCAATATGAAAATCAGGAGATCTACTGAAAACTCAGTAGAACTGGCAACCGTGCAGCGGATGAAAAGTGTTTGCGGACGAAAAGTTAGTGTCTGCCTTCGAGAATAGTCGGTTCTTCGTTCGGAAATGAGAACGGAAAATGGGAATTTTTATATAGGTCGACGAAAAATGTCTTTTTTCGATATAACTGAGATACTATGAAAAATTGTGAACATTTTTCAAGTTTCCTGAAATATCCTTCCGATTGCGCAACTATTTTTCGATTCGTATCTCCTGGAATGCCTCTAACATTTCATTTTTCAACTTTATATGTATATAGTGTGGACACGCTTGTAATGTTGTTAAACAGCTGAACAAACAACATGCAACGCAAATATGCTTCGTCAAAGATGGAATGTCATTTTTTTGTGCCCCTTCATTGAACGAGTGTAGACAGATTATCATTTGAAACCCTAACAGTGGCGCTACACCAAAGGCACATAATGCTCATTTTGTAGTTATATCGATATTATGTCAATGGAATGTATTTCCATGAAAAGAATATTGGGCGACTCAAATAAATTTTAACGATCATTCTTGGAATTTTCGCGATTCATTGACGAACAAAATATATTCGAAAACATTCTCGCAGAGACGCCTATTCTATTGAATCTGAGTGAATCTGGGAATGATGATAACTCGAAAATGTCAGTGATGACAAGCGTCTCCAAACTCTTTCCCAGTTAACAGTGTTGGTTGCAGGGAAGTTGTAGGGAATTATCATTGTGAAACTGGGACTTCGCATTGTTGATTTAAAAAAGGTGCACCAGTACTTATTGGCGATTGCTTAATGTCCGCAACGTTATACATCGCCAATGAGTTGTCAGGACATAACATTGTAGCTTTATTCTAGTCACAATATGAAGCAAACAGGCAACTTCTGACTGTGGCATTAACTTGAAAGTCTGTAAAACACTGATGCGATTGAAGCTCTATAATTATTAAATCCAGGAAGTATTATTTGTACCACAATGTGTCATTTGGTTGAATGTTGAATGTTGATTCGTTGATGAAAAATAAATTTGAATATTGAATGCCTAGTTGCATTCCTTTGAATGCTTGTTTATTATTCCTCCGGCTTTCAATATGGATCTATCATGAGTATGAGATGTATGTAATGTTTATGGTTTGATAATACAGGGTGTTTCCTAACTACGGTTCATTTTAGGAAGAAAAGTTTCTATTAACATATGTCAGAAGTTGCTTCGTTTCTGAAATACAGGTCGATGAAATTGAAGAGAAAAAAAACGGTAATTACAAAATATCATGAATATTCCGGTACCGATTCGGTTGAAATTTGGTTCTTTCATTTGAACTAATAAGGTGCTCATTTAGTCATATTTAGATTGAAATAATTGGGGCCAGTGGCGTCTCAGTGAGCACCACAGCCAACAGTATTGTAAAAAAAAGTACGCTGTTGACATTTTTTAGTGAATTTAAATTATTTTCTTATCAAGCAACTTGAAATACAACTTTTAGGTCTCCTGTATTTTCTTCATATTCAGTTTCGTTTTCAAGAAAAAAAATTAAAGCCACTGTATTGCATATCACGAACACCTGCATTGGAGAAATGAGTTTTTCATTATTTCCGCCAGAAATATAATTGACACTTGATATGCTGGAATTTTAGAAAATTTTACAAATAAAAGTACCTACCAAATATCAACAAAATCGGAATATTCATGATATTTTATAATTACCGTTTTTTTTTCTCCAATTTCAACGCCCTGTATCTCAGAAACGAAGCAACTCCGGACATATGTTCATAGGAACTTTTCTTCTTAAAATTACCTAACAAATCACCCCCTGCAGTTAGGAACCGTAGTTAGGAAACACCCTGTATATGTGAATCCCAAATAATATCAAAGCGGTAATTCGAGTTCCACTTTAATGTTAAAACCTTGATTCAATCCTAGGTTATTTGTCAACTCTGGCACATTTTCCCAACTGTATATGTAAGCAGTACCATCTTCCGATCAATTTCACTGGTACACATCACACATCTACTGTTACTACTGAATAAAGGATGAAGTATGTCAAAGAAAGAAAAAGTACAACAGAAAGTTGGTCGACCATAAAAAATTATATCAACAAATCAAGTTTGTTACTAGTTTCGGCTCAACAGTCATTTTCAGACACATAAAATATCTGTAAAGATTATGGAACTTACAAATAGACCATGCACTACTGAGGGAAAAAGTTTCCTAGGAAGACATCTGGAGATGAGTTCAAGCCAAGGAAAGTAGTTGATTTCCTCTCGTTATCTACCATTTTCGTCCTTTTCATGAACTATTGTGGTAATGACTTTTAGTTTCTTTCTATTTGTGACCATTGCATTTCACTTTTAGTATTTGGCTTTTTCCTAGTTTAAAACACGCCAGTTGGTGGCACCAGATAGCGGTAAAGAGGCTATCTGGGACAGCCCAGTACTGATGAGAGCCAACAGCTCGAAACCAGTCTGCAGGTAGTCTCGCGTTCCCGAACCACTTAGGCGCAGCTCGGCGTGTAGGAAGGAAACACTTGCGATTTTATTCGTCTGTTCGAATTATTGCATAGATTTCGGGAGGATGTAATCCAATGTTCTGCGTGGAATATAGCCAGGAAAGTAGTTGTTTTTCTTTCGTTATCTACCATTTTCGTTCATTCTATGAACTATTATGGTAATCAAATGGAGAAAAAACAAAAACTCAAAGTCGGTCGACCAC